CAATGGACTTCTTTATATGTTGTGCTACTAGACCAATCATTGAAAATTCCAGGAATCTCAAATTTGCTTGCTTTCTCTTCTATTATCCACAATTAGAGGGTTGGTTGGTTAGTTTTTTCAATCAGTGGAATGATAGTTAAAATGAATGAATGAATGGGTGAATGGATGAATGAATGAATGATAAATGAATGGATGAATGGTTGAGTGAATGAATGCATCTAAACTTGTCATTGAAAACACAAAAAAATATCAAAATTTTATGCTCTCCACAAACTGGTAGAATGAAATATACATAAAAAATGAATGAATGAATGAATAAAGGAATGCATAGATGAATGAGTGAATAAATGATTGAATTAGTAATTTGATAAATAAATGAATGAATGAATGACGAAGAAATATTTTTTGTTATCGTATTGCATATCGATTCTATTCTGATGATTTTATTATACTTTCATGATGATAATTGTATTCTCAGTTATCATCATCATCATCATCATCATCACCATTATTATTATTATTATTATTATTATCATCATCATCGAAACAACAACACTAACAATAATAATAATAATAACACTGAAAAAGATTTTTAAAAATTGAAAACGCACCACCACCGCGTAATGATATCGACCTCCGGCTAACACTGCCCACACACACACACACACACACACACACACACACACACACACACACACACACACACTCACACACACACACACACATAAACGCAACACACAAACACACACACAAACTCATACACACACATGTAATATACAATAGCGATCCAAAATAAAATGAAGATGGAAAACCAAACATAGAGGACATAATGCATTCGCGCCATAAAAAATCTCGTCTATTTTTAAAACATCTATGCATTAAATATCTATGCATTGAAATATCTATGGACTATAACATCTATGTATTAAAACATCTATGTATTATAATATCTATGCATTATAATAGCTGTGCGCTGTAATATCTATGTTTTCAATATATCTATGAGATATATAATTTATTTTATCTATTTGGCTATGTATAGTAAGGTGTACATGTACGTTAAACGCTAAGTTATCTTTCTATATTTCAATTTCTATGCTGTTTGATCAACATTTTTTCATTTCTATATTTAAATATCTATCCCATTTGTCAAATAGGAAACTTATTTGAATACAAACTGCGCATACACACGCACACACACACGCACACACACGCACACACAAACATACACACACTCACATACAGATCAGATGCACAGAGCTCAATTGAGTGTTTACAACAATTTCTGGAGTTGCGTGTACGATGTGACGTCATCGTCGTCATCATCTACGTCATCGTCGTCATCACCGAGGAATGTGACGAATAAAAATTTCGAAATTATTACAGAGGTTTTTCATAAGATTATTCTTGTTGTTATCCATCGTCATGTTGTCAAATTTATTCATCTATACAGAGGTATCAACCACACACATACACTACACACACACACACAGCACCACACTAACACAGATACACAGCACTACACAAACACACGCACATACAGACACACGCTCACAAACACACTCTCATACACCCAGCGTATTATAAACGAAAAACTCTTGCATTCAAAGCCAGTGGCTAAAAAACAGGATTGGTCTGTGTGAGTGCGTGTGTGTGTGTGTGTGTGTTTTGTGTGTGTGTGTGTGGTGTGTGTGTGTGTGGATATATACAATCCTGAAAAGTAGTTATTACACGTGCACGTGCGTGAAATGGCGCCAAACAAATTTAATAAACCAAATTAAATTTTGGAAAGAAAGAAAGCAATATCAATAACAAGCAGCAACATCAACAACAACAACAACAACAAAGACACCAACAGCAACAAAGACACCAACAACACAAACAAAGACAAAAACAACACCAACAAAAACAACAACAAAGACACCAACAAAGACACTAACAACAACAAAGACACCAACAACACCAACAAAGACAGCAACATTGATAACATTAAAAATGACTTTCGATTTTTAGTTTTTGGACACATATTTTGACCAGAGCACAAAATAGCACGCACGTGATGTACCGTCTGATGTTATTATCGAAAATATTTGACACCGTTTAGCCAGTTTCGCTTATTGTTATTATTATTATTATTATTGCTGTTGTGTTGATGTTGGTGATTGTTGCTGCTGCTGATGTAGTAGTAATAATAAGGAGTAGTAGTAATTAGTAGTAGTAGTTGTTGTTGTTGTAGTAATTAGTAGTAGTAGTAGTTGTTGTTGTTGTAGTAATTAGTAGTAGTAGTAGTAGTTGTTGTTGCTTATGTAGTAGTAATTAGTAGTTGTTGTTGTTGCTGTAATAGTAGTAGTTGTTGTTGCTGCTGTAGTATTAGTAGTAGTTGTTGAGTAGTAGAAGTAGTAGTTGTGAGTTTCATTGTTATTGTTGTTGTTGTTATTGTTGTTGCCATTATTACTATTATTTTTTGTTTTTCGCATTTATATTCTATTTATTCTAAATAGAAAATAAATAAACTTTATTTTTTCGGCAAAAAATAAAGAATTAAACAACGCAAGTGCAGTTCCACATTACTATTGATTGCATGTACGTACGTACGTGCGTGTTTCTGAATCTGAATAGTGCATTAAAAATAATAGAAAAAAATCCTCAAAACCAAAAGTTCATTACCAAAGAAATTATATTTTTTATAATTATTTAATTTCTATGGTTTTTTGATTACGTCCTTGCGGAGTTTTGGACTGAAATTGTGCCTTATCTTATTGTACTATCCATCCACACAGCATACGGCGCTCATAGTGCACAAACTTTTTGTGTCAAGACAGTATTCGAAGCAGGCCATTACGTAATAACGACGCGAGATGCGGCGCTTCTACCAATTGAGCATTCTCGCCGACCAATCATAACTCTTTATTTTTATTATTTTTCTATTTTATTCTTTCCGTAATTATAAGCATAATTTTTTTATTTTTGTTCTTTCACTAATTTTAGGAACCAAAGTTAGAAAATATATTTACCGTGCCTGAATGTTTTGAAGGTCTTGGGGTGAAATTAGGGGGGCGAGACACCATCGTACCCTACATGCCCAGTAAGAAGAACCCGCCATCAGAAAAGGTGAATGAATGAATGAAGGAAGGAATGAATGAAGGAATGAATGAATGAATGCATGAATGACTGGCTGGCTAGCTGGCTGGCCAGCGGAAGAATTTTAAGACTGACCGACCGACCAACCGACCGACTGACTGATAGATTAACAAATTGCTCAGAATGTATATTCGATAAACTAAAATTCGTTATTTTAAAAATGATATCATGTCAAATTTTAAAATAAAAACAAACATAATTACCAATTAATTATAATAATAATTAATTGTAATTAATAATAATAATAATTAATTAATTTGAAAGTCATGCCTGGTGATGTTCTTTAACGACGGACTATCACACGATAGAGCTCGAACGTTCATCAAGTTAATGAGGGAGAACCACGTGAGCAAATATTAATAATAATAATAATAATAATAATAATAATAATAATGACAAATTATGATAATAATAATAATAATAATAATGACAAATTATAATAATAATTTTAATAATAAATAATAATTATAATAACAATGATGAGAAATCTTATTTTCTAAAAGAAAAACACATACGAACGTGAATATTTTTTCGTTTGTACGTTTCAGGGGATTGAATAAAATGAAATATTGATAAATTTGCTAGTCTCAAAAATATAATCTGCGATAGATCAGAATTTTAAGACCTAATAAGAATGGAGTAAAATGAGATAGAATAAAATAATATGTTAAATAAAATGAATTATAATAAAATATAATATATATATAATAAAATATATATATAATAAAATATATATATAATAAAATGGTTTTTGTTGTCTTTTAATCCTATTTTGATATTGGCGTATAAAAACTCAAGCTTAAGCCAATTATTTATTCGTTTTTATTTATTTATTTGATTAAAATAATAAGTCTGGTAGTCTCTGCAGTAGTGTACCTCAGAGGTAGACTGGCTACTAAGGCAGTTTTGAGTTTCTGTCACAGTAGATTGCACGCCATCTGACTGTTAATGACCGTACATAGGATTGAAATGATTAGACTATTGCGAAAGTTAAAATAATAATGGTAATAATAATAATAATTATAAATAAGAATAATAATAATTATTGTAAATAATAATAATAATAATTATAAATAATAATTATAATAGTAAATCAATCAATCAATCTTCGTTTTGCGTCCAGAGACCCGGTTCCCCGAGGTAGGACGTAATTATAATAATAAATAATGATAATAAATAATAATTATAAATAAGAATAATAAAAATTATTATAAATAATAATAATTAATAATAATAACAAACAACAGACAGGTTGTAGTTTAGTACAAGGACGGGAGTTGGTTTTAAAAGAAATCGAATCGTCGGAGATATTTAACTCCGATAAATACACGATGGCTGTCAAACAAGGTGATGATAATGAATAATAATAAAAATAATAATAAGAATAAATAATAATTATAAAAATAATAATAAATAATAATAATCACAATGGTAATAGTTATAGGAGTAGTAGTAGTAGCAGTTGTAGTAGTAATAATAGTGGTAATAGTAGTAATACTAATAATAGTAGTAGTAGTAGCTTTAGTAGCAGTAGTAGTAGCAGTAGTAGCGTCATTAAATTTTCCAACCAACAACCAACCTAGGACCCGTAATCTGCTTGGAGTACTGTGGAGTGGATTGCCGCCATTTTTGCCAGGAGACACTGGTGGCCGTGTCTAAGGGCTCTACGGGCCTCGTCTTTATCAGTGCGGCCCGAGACCACGCCCAGAAGCAGGTGGAGGCGTTCAGACGCTTAGCCGAGAGTAAGTTAGGAAATGTCAAGACTCCGGAGAATTTTAAGAAACGCGCGTGATCGTGGTGTTGGGGGGGGGGAGTGAGGCTTGAATTTTGTAAAAAAAAATACGACTTAAAAGAGAATGATTGGTTGATCGTTTCGTTGTTATGTCGTTCATCCATTTGTTCGTTCATTCATTCATTCATCATTCGTTCGTTCGTTCATTCATTCATTCGTTCGTTCGTTCGTTCATTCATTCATTCAGATAAAAGATTTTCATTTAGAACTTTGCAAGTCTTAAAAATCACACACACACACATACATATATATATAAATATATATATATGTGTGTGTGTGTTTGTATGTGTGTATATATATGTTTATATGTGTGTATTATATGTAGGCATTTGTTGTCTAATGCTTTGTATCAAATTAATTTATCCATACCACCACTATCATCATCATCACCACCACCATCATCATCATCATCCTCATTGTTGTTAATACTATTATTAGTGTCATTATTTTGTTAGTACAACTGTTGTTGTTGTTCTTATTATTATTAACGCTAATAACACAAAACCATACAATACAACACAACACAACACATCAAGATAGATGATGGTAGTTTGTATCATTAATAATGCTTGCATATTTTCGTTCAATATTAGTTGTTATAAATTGATACTATATCTAATACTATATATATATATATATATATATATATATAAACTGTTTTATCACTGATGTTTTATACATGTACACAAACACACATGCATATATTCGTACTAACATTGTACTATTTTCAATTAGGAATGATTTGAAACGGTTGTTTAACTTTTTTTTGAACCTGTGTGTTTATTTGTGACTTTGTGTGTATCCGTGTGTGTGTGTGTTTGTATGTGTGTACGTGTGTTTATGTGTGTACGTGTGTGTGTGTGTGTATTTTTTTGTATGTACATGTTTTAATTGTACGTGTCGTTGATTTTTCTGTGCATACAATTTCATTTTTTTCCTGGACACCTGTTTTTTTTCCATGTTTTTGAAGTTTTTTTTCAGATAATTTTTTCTATTTATGTTTCATTTTATATTTAATTCCGACAAAACATACAATGTTGGTAAGAGAGCGAAAGGCTGGATGAGAAAGAGAGAGAGAGAGAGAGAGAGTGAATGAATGAAAGAAGGAAAGAAGAAATGCCGAGAAAAAATGGAGAAGTTTGGGAATTGAGAAAAAATAATGAGTTGAAGTGAAGGAAAGATTTTAATAAAAAAAGAGAGAGGAGAGAGAGAGAGAGAGAAAGAAATATGAAAAAGGATAAAGAAAGAGATAAAAAAAAGTAAAAGAGAGATAGAAGAGAGAAAGAGAGAGAGATACATAGAAACAAAGATATACAATTTTTCATGTACAAAAATACATACAAAAAAATGCCAACAGTGTCACGCTATGAAGGTGTAGTAACATCCTCTGCTTCAAATATTTACAACTGAGGAGATTTTTGTTTTAAATTTTTCCTTGATACATTGCCAGCTATATCTTAATTATTCTATACGTCACACACACACAAATAAACACACGCACACAAACATTGACTCTCTCTCTCCCTCTCTCTCTCACACACACACACACATAGCGTGCTAATCTTTTATGACTTTTTCGTTTATTCCTTTATTCGTCAACAGATTGCATGCAACACTTCACCCAGAAATATATATTATCGATAATAATTAATTAATTATAGGAATTAATTACAAGACGTAATATATATGAAATTATGTGTATATAGGTATAATATACATATATAATATATATATGTGTGTATATGTGTGTGCGTGTATGCGTGCGTGTGTTGTTTAACTGTGTAATTGATTTAATTCAATTTATACTTCGTTCTATCATTGTCAAAGGGTTGTTAATTTTTTTTCATATAAAATTTTGTCACTAAACAAAAAAAAATTTTTTTTAATTTTGTGCCATTTCTTTATCATCCATCAGTCAGGATGAGACGCTGACGAACAAGCCAGAACAAAAACATTTTAAACATCTCAAAAAAAATTACACAAACACAGACACACACAGACACACACACAGACACACACACACAGACACATGACGTTACTTAAAACTCATTTTTCCATATGCGATCCTCCACACTTGTAATGTTCCCCACCATTCCCATGACTCCCACTGACGGATTCATCGACCTGTCGGTGATCCGCACTAACTGGATTTTTGATTCTGGAGTGCGGAGTGCAGGTCTCGTCTTCGGGATTTTGCTCGCGAATCGGAAATCTATCGCATCCTTGACCCTTCATGTAGATGGCCCAGTGGTTCGAGGTACTTTCCAATTTGTGTTTGTCGTATTTCGTCTTACAGGAGACATCGTAGACTGTGTTGAAGGCGCTTCTGACGGTCCGCATGTCGTCGGGGTGGGTGTAGATTATTCAACGTTGGTTTTATGTTTATTAAATGCGATTTTTTGTTTAACCATCTTGATCGCAAAATTGATTCATTCGTATTTACACTCTCTTATTTCATAACTCATAGGTATCAACACGCACGCGCAAACAAACAAACACGTACAAGCACACGTACAAACACAAACACACGCACACTCAAGAAGCAAAGCAACGCATCCTAAATCTCGTACGCATCTAACCATTACACCATCTTGCCATCTAATTCAAACCTTGAAATACTCTGTCACACCTACCTGAGTATATCATTTTCTACGCATAGATTTTCATTGGTCTCGACGTGGTTTACTAGCAATCTGGCATTGGCCTGTGTGAGAACAACAAATTTAATTCAACTTTAACCAATTTGAATATCAAACTAAACTGAATAAAAAAAAACCTTAACAGGCTCGCCATCAAGCTCCAATCTTTCGCTTTTATCAAAAGGTACCAAACGGAACCTACAGTTGTAATTGCATTCATTCGTCAGGACCACCCAGTTATTCTCCGACATGTTTCGAAGTCGAAAAATTGGTGTTTTTTTGACACTTGAGAGCAACAACTATGAATGGATTAGAAGATAATAAATATATTTAGATGAAAAAATTGAAATTAAAAATTTTCAGAAGAATGTGGACTAAGAAGAACTTCATATTTGTTTAGAATATAGCGAAGTTTATATTTCAATTTTGTTACATAATTTATAAGGTGGTTATAGGGGTCATATTCTTTGCACACACACACTCCCACACACTACACAGAGAGAGAGAGAGAGAGAGAGAAAGAAAGAAAGAGTAAGAAAGTAAGTGAGAGAGAGAGAGAGAATTTATGAATGAAACATAACATGACCAAATAAAGTTTTCAAAAATCTCTACCTTCTCATTAAAGGTGTAAAAGAAGACAACTTCTCCGAATCTCACTGGCGTACCATCTAATGCCGCCGTCAGCCTGATTCAGTGTTTTTTTGGAGGGAGTTTAATTTTAAATAGTAAGTTTCTTTCGTTGTTGGCTGGAAAGTGTATGAGTGTGCTAATACTAGGCTGAAATTTATGCCTGGAGATTCAAGTTTTTACATTTTGGTTGATATTTTTACGGGAAAATATATAAAATATCAAAATACTAAACAATGCTGTGCTTACGAACCTGTTCATAGCGTTACACACAAATAAACTGATGAAACACATAGACTTCGTTACTAAACTCAACAACAACTACTAACACTATTTCAGTAAATCTACTCAAATACACCTTCTTATCGAAAAATTTCTTTCTTAAACTGCAATCTATTTTTCTGTGAACGACTTTCTAACTACAAGTCAAAAAATTGGATAAAATAAAATACTAATATAGCTTTTATACTACTATTAATACCATTCTGCTGCTACTACTGTTGTTACTACTGCTGCTGCTGCTGTTGTTTCTGCTGCCGCTACTGCTGCTACTACTGCTGCTGCTGTTGTTGCTGCTGCCGCTACTGCTGCTACTACTGCTGCTGTTGCTGCTACAAAAAACAGGAAGGCACTCACCCTCTGATGACGAAGGTAGAAAAGTTGACAGGCGATAGAATGTTTTCACTAGCACACAGCTCCGTAATTGGTCGATCCATAAAACTGGGATCTAGGCATCCGCAGTATAGAACAGATTCTGGAACATGCATACAGAGGGTTTTGATGTTCTGGGCCGGATTAGTGATCGGCAGGTTAACCAACATCACCCTGTCTCCGTACCTGACTAGCTGGTCTCTTGAGTAGCTTAATGGCACCTGGTGTATGATAAGAGGTTCGGAAATTTTTGAAAATTCAAGTTTGTTAGTTGGTCAAATTTTTTAAAATAATCAAGAAGAAAGTCGTCGTTGTACGATTTTATTGTTTTTTATTTTGAGCGATTGTATGTTTCCCATTTAATGTCAAGTTCAAGTGTTATAGTTCAATTCTTACTTTAAAATTCCATAAATGAATGCTATATAGTTCAATCCCTATACAAAATTATGTAAGAAACATTTTAATTATCAACAAAATTTTATAAAATTAAGTACTTTAAAGAAATAAACTGAAATTATTTTTGGCAAAAAATATAATTCGAATTACATCTTTGAAGCACGTTTTTTTGAGGCGGTCAAGGTTTTGCCAGAGTAGCATGTTGTTCTCTCTCTTGTAGAGGTAATCTTTTAGAAGGTGCTTGTGTGTGTGTGTTTGTGTGCGTGTGTGTGTGTGCGTGTGTGCGCGATTGTATGTGTTTGTATGCGTCTGTTTGCTTAATATGATGGTTTTTTGCAAGCTTACGGCTGAACGTTGAAAAAATTGTTATATATATATATATATATATATATATATATATATATATATATATATATATATATATTCTATAAATTCTACCGAATGTTTGGCGTTAATATGTTTGTAGTTCGTTTTTTCGATTTTTTTCATTAAAGTTTTTTGGTGAACGTTTATATATATATATATATTAATAATGAAACGACTATTAAATAAATAAAATTAATTGAATTAATCAAATCGAATTAATCGTAATTAATTAATCAATTGAAATTAAATAAATTAAAATTTAATTAAATTTCAAATAAAAATTAACAACTTCTTCCAAAGCCCTTTCCTCAAACCAATTACCAACGTTTACACATTTACTGTAAGGCCTTGCAACTGCCGTATACACGGTCTTACATTTTCGTGACAT